ACTCTAATCCTATCAGGAATGGATCAAAATAAACTTAAATGGGTTTTTGTTTCTTTTATTAATCAATAGATTTTTCATTTTTTGGTGTGCGGTGAAATTTGTTTCGATTTAATTTATAAAATACATAAAGGATTTAGTTTATTGTCAAATATCCCATTCTCTTTTTGATCAGTAAATATGAAATTCTACTGATCAAAATTCATATATAAGTACATCGGATATACTCGGGTAAACCAGATCGAATGACTTATACAAATACTTCGGGCATACCCGAACAAACAAAAGAAACAATGTACAAATGATAAGATCAATGATCCAATGCTAAGGATTTAAAATGAATCAAGTCATGCGGATACAAAGAAAACATAACTTTGTATACGTGTGTCTTAATTAGTCTCATAATGCTATCCAAGTGTGGTATAAGGTTTTCAAAAATCTTTCTATTCTTCACCGTCCAAATGTGGTAAACGGTGCTTACAAGTGCAATCCTCTTAGCTTTGCTTTGCCAAGATGTCCCATGAGCCTCATTTTTTGTCCACTTCAACATGCTAGATAATGTAGACATAGATCTTCTAATACCAAGCCATTGTTGGATCCTCCCCCATAAGATCGATGTGAACGAACATTCAAAAAACAAGTGTTGGCCTATTTTCTCCATTTGTCCACAAAGAACATAATTCCGGTCAATATCCAAGGATTGCAATTTGTTTTTGGTGAGGAGTTTAAATTGACCGCTTAACCAAAGCAAAAATGAGTGTTTTTGTGTAATGCATGGTTTCCAAACGTCAACTCCCCAGATCTTAAAAGTTTTTTTTTTGGCCGAAAGTAATGATATGCCTTAGTTGTGCAAAAATTATCCCCCTCGGTCCAAGCCGTAGCTGCCTGAACGATAGCATCGATTCGTCCCCTTGCGTCTGCCTGAACGGACGCAAAGGCTGTCCTTATGCGTTTGCGTGAACAACCATAGCGGGCTGCCCCCGTGCGTCCCTGATTTTCAGCAATTTTTTAAGGAGTGGCAAATAATCTTTCCTTGACGAAACTTCCCAAATGCTAGCCCCTTTTAGATAAATATGATATGATTTACCCAATGTATCCAAAGGGTGTCCTTTTGTGAATATTCCAAAGAGATTTTGCAAGTAAAGCTGAATTTCAACTTTTAATGTCTCTAAAACCAAGGCCACCTTCATTTTTCGGTAGGCAATATCCCTCCAAGCTATCAAAGATTTCTTAGATCCCTGAAGAAAATTATGCTGTAGACTAATGATTCTCGATGTGATAGTTGTCGAGACAGGGAAAATAGAAAGTCAAAAACATTCGACTCCTTTGAGCACCGTCCTTATTAATTCCGTTCTACCCGCGTAAGACAAAGAGGAGCAGGTCCAGGCACCAATATAAGATGCTTTTTTGTCTAACAAAGGGGCATAACAACTAACTTTCAGCTTCTCGGATGCTAATGAGATACTCAAATACCGGAATGTCATATTACCTTTCGGAAGGTTAGTTATTTCTTGGATTTCAACAAGTTCTTGCCCATGAATATCAGCTGTAAACAATCTGGGTTTTAAGTTATTCATCCTAAACTCAATGTATTACGGAATTTGGATAGGCAATTCATTAAATTTTGCACAAACACAACATCTTCCCTTGCAAAGAGCATCAAATCATTCGTAAATGCCGAGTAATCTTTAAGGGGCCACATTTTGGATGAAAATTGAATTCACTATCGTTAGTGGCTATCTTAATCATTCTTGAAAAATATTCAAGACATAAAACAAACAAAAAGGGTGAAAGAGGATCACCTTGTTCTTGCAAACACTGAGTTTTCATATTCTCATATGTATTTTTGTTTTCAATAATCTTGCTATTGTCAACATCAATTTT